ACGAGGTTGCACTAAAAAGAAACCTCTCAGCTAATGAAATCTGCATCACTGTTAGCCTACGATATCTTAAAGAATTTCCACTCGGCTTCCATTCTTCTGAAACTAGAGCTTTAAAAGTCCATAGTCCAAAGAGGTCTCCATCAATAGAGTGGAAAACCTTTACCAATAGATGTAGAATAATAACATGAGCAACCTTAATGAAAGTACGTACTTAACAGTTTCTCCTTCTCAGTTCCACGGGTTAGTCAAAACTAGCATAACAGCAATTACTCAAAGCTGTGGGAATTAAAGTAGCCTTGCAAGCTATTTTCAAAATGAGCTTGTCAAATTGATCTGCCGCTACAATAAGTGTTCGATTTTCAACTATCGCACTGATTTCTAAACACACTCTAAACAGTCAGATGTTGAGAGATCATCTGGTCCCCGGTCCGTTGGGCATTTGGTACCTAGCCGCAGTCGGACACAGTGAAAAAAAATGTACTTCAAAAAAGAATCCAGTAATATCCCTTTACTTTTTGGATTAAAAGATAACCTGGCTATGTTTCAAAACAATTGGCCCTTCAGACAGAATAAAGCCGAAAAGAAGTTTTATTTTGAAAATTTAATGACCTTTCAGTGAAGGTAATTTCACGTACTTGGTGGTCCGAGAATATTATTCACTGCTAATAATTTGTCCTCGTTTGTCTACGTGACATGACAGGCAGAACAATAAATACTCCATACTCAGTTTTTTTTAGCGGGTACGAGGTGTAAAAAGATTGAGAACCACTGACTTACACCATCGCAGGACAGTTTTGCTGCAGTGAAAAAGTGAAGTTTTTCCACACAAACTGAATCAAACACATCTTTTTCGTTCAATTGAACCACAGTTTCTATAGTCTTGGCAGCAGGATATCTTACCAGTACATGCTGTCCTGAAGTGTATGCTATATGCTGTCACTCATGTTACAGCATGAGCATTTTCAACACCTTTATCTGAGATGTGGTGTTAACTCCTCCGCGCCACTGTTGTATTATCACCACCTACATAACACTTGCCCCCCACCTCCCCCATCACTTCCTTCACCACCCGAACCAGCGTCTCATCAACTACCTCTGTTCACACCTTCTCTCAGACAGGAAACAGCCATAAAGTGACCTGCTGCTTCTTTGCAATGTTCATGCCAGACTGAGAACTGACAGTTTACGATGAATGCCAAAACAGTTTTGACATAGTTATTGAACTGTGACATATGAAAAAACAATGAGTGGTAATGTCCAGAAGGGGGCAACACAGGAGCCAAATGTGCCAAAAACCAAAGAAGATGAATTCACCAATGACCAGGTCTAATATTTTTACCTTGGAAACTCCAAATGAAAGAACCTGCCAACACAGCAACCCAACACTCGTCCTAGAAATCTACAAACCAATGATTCTGAAATACATCACCAAAACTAAAAAAACAAGTATACCCATAAACCCATCAATAAAGTTATTATTATAAACCATACCTACTCAAACTACCTGATTATCCTACGAAAAATATACAGCCATTCCATCCATCGAACAATGATCGAACAAACAACAGTCCAACAAACACCTCTATCAACAAAAGGATGTTAGCCACTAGCTATTTAACCAGACAACCAAAGTAGACAGCAAACCAACCAATCAACATTTGAACCAAACATAAATTCCACCAACATTTCTAACAATCAAACCTATTGAAAACATCTACCCAAAGGTTCTACCAACGGAAGGATTCAAAATCACAGTTCAGTTCAAAAATATCACCAACCTAAGGGTTGACTAACTTAGCCGTCCCCAACCTATCGCACAACTCCGGGCATTCGATACGATTGCGTTTTTACAAATAAATCAGAAACAAAACCCCCGACTGAAACTTTGACGGAGTAGGACTGTGATTATGACTCTCCAAGCTCTTGTTTTTGTGCTGTTTTTTTTTTTTTTTACCCAAAGACAGTTTTAAATCACAATGGAGCTGTGGATTTATCGCAATTAATCATGATTAATCAGGATAAATCAACAACCCCACTAACTGCAAACATTGGGGCCAACTGCCAATAATGGGAGGATGCAAAACGGGAAATTATCAGAAGATGACAGAAGTATCGCAAGTATCGGAACACGGTGTGGGGACGGTGCCATGCTCACAGCACCTCAGTGGTAACTTGCTGCTTGCAGCTGGTGGACTCGAACCTTAAATCAATTCGTTCGTGACTACTCGTTATTGGCAGTTGTTTAGCAATGTCTGATAATATCGGCCCGATATTAGCATAATTATATAATATCTGTAAAAATCGTTATCAGTTTTTCCTCTGATAATGAAAACGCAATAACAAAATGCATGGGTTTTGCCAAATATGCTAGAATTGCTTGTAGGATCGTAAGTCGCTTACGTTAGTTTTGGGGGCAAACGGGTGCATATATCGGTATCGGTTGATATCGGAATCTGAAATTAAGCGTTTGGACGATATCGGATATTGACACAAATCGGACATCCCTACTGTTGTTCAGTTTTCATCAAAACTCTGTTGAAGTTCAAACATTCTCCAAGACTGTGAACCTCAAGAACCGTGTCCCACGTGTTACGGAGAGTGTTATGGACAGAAGACATCTGCAGGAAGCAGGGGTTCAGAGTTCTCGTGTTTGTCCATAAGCTTACATGCTCTCAGGTAGATCAGTAGTTCCACCTCGTCCGGGGTTTGAGCACAACAACGGTCCATCAAACTGACCGGTCTGACCTTTTTGTATAACCATCAGTCCCAGACTCTGTGAGTCTATTAGCTCTGTCTGAAAACTGGACAGGTACTAATGGACCAGCTTAGACCTGCATGAAGGAACAGCAACCCTCTCATTCTCAGTCTTTACCTTAGGATTTCAACCTGGTCCATTTTTACTGAAGTTTTGCACATCTTGTACATATTTCAGTCAAGCTCACACGTCTACAGCGAGGCTGCCAAACATACGGCCCGTGGCCCAAAACCGGCCTGCCATGGGGTTCAATCATTAAATATATTTCATTCATGATTCATGTATTTATTTGCATAGAAACAAAGGGAAAAAAACAGGTAATTATGTTATGATTGCACTGCTCCGGCCCACATGACATCTACCAACCAAAGTGATTGTGACACCCCCTGGTCTAGAGTAAAGAGAGGAACACGACATGAAGGAATGAAACTTTTTCAGGCAAAGGACTCGATTCCAGCACTATTATAAAAAAGAATTCATTTCCTGTCAAGTCCTATGAGCTCTACATGAATCACTTCCTCTGCTGTGGAAAAAAAAGTTGACACCGAGTTTCCATTTCCTAGTCTCTATCTCTAGGTGTCTGTGGATCTAAAATGTCCCAAAAGTACCTGAACTAGTTTGTTTTCATAGCTCCATTCAGATAAAAATAGGTGAAAAAAACTTGAACTGAACTTGATTTGTTGAGTTTTCTTTAATACCAAAACTTCAAGCTGGTCCAGTTCTATTAAGTAGCAGTTCAAGTTTGACACGTATGAGGAGAACGTTGCTAATTGCTAACTTGCTAATAATGGAGAACTTTTTCAGACCTTCTTAAAATACTTTTTTCTTGTTCCTTCTGACACAATCTTTACAGATATTTTTTTTGATCTGAATGTTCCTAATAATTCATAGTTGCTTCTTTGATCTGAATGTTCCTAATAATTCATCATTACAAAACTACTCAGTTTATTATGAATGCGAGTATGTAATGATTAGAAATCGCTCCGTTCCTGAGCAGGAGTACGATCAGCCACTTTCTGGAAGGAGCGCATTTGATCACCTGGAAATATGGTATTAACATTTTCTATTTTCGTTGCTGGATACGCAGACTCTGCTCGTGTCAACAGTTCGAGTCTATAGGCATTGTCACCATAGCAGCCGTTCCGATAACCATAGCAACAGTTCTAATAACCATGGCAACACTGCCGATGCCGCAGGCTGTAGCTACCGTGGAACTCAAAGAGTTCAATCGTTAAACTTTCTCTGTTAGTCCTAAAAAAACACAGCAGCTTTGATTCTCGGCTGAATATTAGAACTAGAATAAGAACGTTTACTTTTCACTGTGTGTATTTGTGATAATATTCTAAATATTCAAGAGTTAGGTTAAAACATCTGCATTAATAAAAAAGTAACTGTTTTAATTAATTGGGCATTAATTGCCTCTATAAATATTTATTTAATTTGGTTTGTTTTATGCGTTTACTCGTGTTTACCTGACATTTGTTTACGTACGAGATCAGGGCACCTGTGGACAGGCATCTGTTTGGGTTTTGTGGATTAGCTGACTCAGATTAGCCGGAGTGTCCCTGTGTTTTCAGGTAAGTCGTGGGTGTCAAACATACGGCCTGCGGGCCAAAATCCGCACGCCAGGGCAGTGGTCCCCAACCCCGGATCGCAGAGAAAGAATGCATAACTTATGTTATTTCCGTTTAATTTATTATCTGATTCTGAACTATGTTTTATTTTTTGAAAAACTACCAGATTTGAAACCCTTGTTATTTCCGTTTAATTTATTATCTGAGTCTAAACGATGTTTTATTTTTGAAGAATTACCAAATTTGAAACCCGCCTAGCCCCGCCTAGCTAGCAAAATGAACGCCTAGCTAGCAAAATGAACAAAAAACAAACGTCTTCGGAAGGTCTTTCTTTGCGCAATGTACATTTTCACCTGAATTAGACATGGTTTTTGACTATAAAATTACATCTTTTTCTTTACAAGAACCAAGCGCATTAATTCCCACGGTACATGCATATATCCACAGGAATTATTTGGTAGCAAAAACTGTTCCTGTTCTGGAGGTAAGACTTTCAAAACAGACTTTTCTGATGTTTATTTACATTTACTACACTAAATTATATACTATTCATAATTATTGCTTTACTCTAACTGTTTTACTACACCAAACTACACCAGAAGTTTCCCAGCAGTCTTCTGAAACCCGAGACGGTCTTTTTGAGACGCTTCAGTTGGACGAGGTAAACTCACCATAGTTCCATGTGTTAGTCTGAACGGTTGTTATCGCTCCATTTGGCATTGTGATAGTCTGGCAAAGTATCCAGGCTTTGCCTCGCCTTCTCCCGATGACTGCTGGGATCGTCTCCAGCTCCGCCTGTAATCCTGAAAAGGATTAAGAGGTAGAAGATGAATGAATAAATGAATCACTGAGAGTGTGTGTTTTTTTAATTAATGACGAAACTTAGGCTAAGACAGAAGATCCACTGATCGACCCGACAGGTCTGCACAGATGCATGTGTTTTATCAACACTCCCTGAAACACACACATCGGTGCCCGATGACTCACTTACAGTAAACCCACACACACCCGTCATTATACAGTGCGCTGTGCGTTTGTGTGTGTGTTTGTTTTACAAGTCTCTGTGCGCACTGTGAGTATTAATCACCCACACGATTCATTCACTTATTCGTTTGTCTTCGACTGCTTGTTTCAGGGTTGCAGGCAGTCAGTCAACAGGCAGTCAGTCAACAGGCACCTTGGACCAGAGCTCTACTGCTGCCAGTGTCAACATCAGCTCATTGTTTTATACTATATATATATATATTTACTAATATAAATGCTGTATAATACTTTAGTGTTTTTTCTCTCATTCTAAAATGACCACATTTTTTAAAAATTAATAATAAATATCAAACAATTGAAACTATTTTTTTTTAAATTGCATTACGTGCAATATTTAATTGTTATGGGAATTTGGTTGCAGGCAGGATTGAGTGCTGTTCCAGACTGGATGGCCAATCACAGGGCCATATGTATATACACCTATATACCTTATAATTACAATATACTTTTGTTGCTTATCTATACATATACATACCGTAGAGATAATGTGGAATACTTTAGTATTTTAGTAAATAGAATTCTAATGTTATTGAATGATAGAGATTGCAATTACAACAATAGCAACAATTATCACCCAACCTATCACTACTACTAATACTAAGCTAATCTACAACTATCTATCTATCCATCATCTATCTATCCATCTATCTATCTATCTATCTATCCATCTATCCATCTATCCATCATCTATCTATCTATCCATCCATCCATCCATCCATCATCTATCTATCTATCTATCTATCTATCTATCTATCTATCTATCCATCCATTCATCTATCTATCCATCCATCCATCCATCATCTATCATCTATCTATCCATCTATCCATCCATCATCTATCCATCCATCCATCATCTATCTATCTATCCATCCATCCATCCATCCATCCATCTATCATCTATCCATCCATCCATCGATCTATCCCAGCACAAGAGAGCGGAATCTTTGTCAGGGAGACGTTTCAGATTTTTAGCTCAAAGGAACACAGGAACTGCTTTAGTGAGTATGTTTCACTGATGTACATCTGTTTTTTTTTACACAGTAAGATTAATTAGTTATGGCTGTCTCCCTGTGAACTACATAAAATCACTAGTCGCTCCGGTATGTGGCTCAGAACCTACAGTTTCCTGACGGAAAAACCTGGCGTGACAGCGAGAAAAAGCAGCGAACTCGCTGTTTTACATCTTTCTCAGGCTTTTTGTACGTGTGTTTTACTGCACTTTATTAAAAATGAATGAACTAACACCAGCAAGGCGCAACGTCAGCAAAGATCTGCAGCGCGAAACAGAACTGTGGTGCTGCGGGAACGGCCGATGTTCAAATGATTGGGCAGAAAAGTCACCATCGACCAGAGCACTCCACTGCTGTCTGAGAGTATCTGACACACACACACACACACACACACATAGACACTAACAGCAGTAATGACTCCCAGTGGGAACAGGTTTATCAATATCCCAGTGGATCAAGGGGAATCAGATCAAAGGTCTGACAATTAACACTTCTATGATGCACCAACAGAAACATGCGATGCTAAGAGTCTGCTAACACTGGGTCAAAAGCGATAATTAACCCCCCCCCCGCCCTTCCAAAAACAAGGGATATATATAGAGAAATATAGTTACCACGTTTTTGTAATTACAGATATCGCTTTCGCTGATCTTTATTAGCTGTGTTTTATAATTTCATTTTTGAATATTTCCAGGTAGTATCATTACCTGTTTTTTATTCTCAAATTTGAAATTGCTTTTTAACGAAACTGACATGACACCAGAGAAACACGTCAAAATTAGAGATGCACTGTTTGACTGGGCTGCGATCAGAACTGGACAGTTTTGGCCATGATCAGCCCTAATCTTGCGACCGGCCAATCACCACAAGAAATGCCAGTCTTTCCGGGGATCACTTTGCACATGCGTTCTATGTCAGAGAACAGGAGCAGCAATCTGAAGCTAACATGTTGTTAGCTTCGAAGGTAACAATGGTAACATTGAGCAAAGAGAACTCCGAACTCACTAATTGTAATATATGTATGTTAAAACCTTATCCAACACTTAAAAAAACACATAATTCAGCACAGGCCAAACTAAGACCCGGGGGCCGCCTGTGGCCCGTTCATCTTTTTAATCCAGTCAACCAAACTTTTCCAAATTAAAAAAAAAAGTATTTATATTATCATTATACTTCTGCCTTTTACCTGCAATACCAACGTTTCCCCAATAGATGGCGTATAAAACGATAAAAGCATTTTAGCATTTTAGCCTTTATGCATGACTTTTACATTTATCTTAGTTCACACGAACACTCCATCTATCTGCTCCTGACTTGTCCCCACTGTTCAATTTTAGGACAATTGTGTCAAAAAGTTCGCCCATGCCTGAGCTAGCTAGTCAAGCTCAGATGAAACACGTCAGTGTTTTGGTTTGTTTTTTCCCCTCATGTGGACATGAGTCAAGCTTGACAGGGCATGTGGAAAATGAGAAGTGAAATTGTCAGTTTGCTGATTAAGTAGAAATGCTTTTTATTGTCAAAACAAAAAACTTGCCATTGATAGCATTTTTTCCCCCCTTCA